CGGACGCAACTCTGCATGCAGGCGGTTCAAGGCATTGATCGCTCGAGATTCACCCCGGAAATGACAGTCTTGCTCGGCAACATTATCAGTGACTGAGAAGTCTTCTCCAAGGAAAGCATTGCTTGGATTACACGGAGAGAGGCCTAGAAAAGATGTTTGACCAATTCTTATATCTGCACTTGGTTGATTAAGCGGCCAACGTGCATCTTCTAATGCAGTGTAACAAAGACAAAAAGACAAAGATATAAACCTGCCTCCAAAGGTATGTTCAGATTGATACTCGCATGTTGGAATATCAGAACCATGCTTCATAATGGTGATAGAGGATGTCCTGTGTGTCGTTCTGCTCCAATTGCCCACGAACTATCAGGATTCAACATGAGCATTGCTGCTGTTAGTGAAGTTCGTCTTCATGAAGAAGGCAGTCTTAAAGAGTCAGGCAAATATAAAACTGATCTTTCACGAGTAGGCTTCATGACTACAGACTCCATTATCTCCAAACTTAGAAATTTTCCTAAGTTTAGGATTGTACGGAGAAAGCGTTGTTGGAAATGTTCGAGAAGTCACAGGTAGTGACAGTAGACGACCCATATAAAAGAGCAGATAGGACGGTGGCTTTATAAACAGTAATCTTTGTACTTCTCTCCAGGTTGCTATTGCACCAGATTTTCTTACGGAGTTTTTCGAAAGCTCTGTATGCTTTGCTAACTTGCCTGTTGTGGATCTCTTTGTCGATTTTGGCGTCCGAGGAAATGATGCTGCTCAGATAGCTGAACTGCTGGATCGACTTCACCTATGGTGATGTGAGGATAAAGGTAGTCTTCCTGTGATGTAGGCTGGTAGAGAACTATTATCTTTAAGCTAACTTGTGGCTCAAAAGCCTCTGCAGCCTCTGAGAAGCAAGATATTAAGCGCTGCAGAGTTGTGTCTGTGTAACTTATGACGCGGCATCGTCAACAAAAGGTCCTCTCGGATGTGGTGTTTTAGAATCTGTCATGGATATCTGTCGCGTTAGGGGTAACTGTCGCCTTAGGTTGCATAGGCTTCCATTGGTGAATACTGAATGTAAATATCGTT